GGGTTCAATTCTCAGCATGAGTTGGGGGGAATCATTAATTCTTATTTAGAAATCAGATTCTCACTGGGCATGGTGGTGCATGCCTGTAATCTCAGTGGCTTGGGAGGCTGAAAAAGGAGGATCAAAGCCAGCCTCAGCAAAAAGCAAGGCACTAAACAATTCAGTGAGACCCTGTCTCTAAATAAAATACAAAAAAAAAAAAAAAAAAAAATAGGACTGAGGATGTGGCTCAATGGTTGAGTGCCCCTGAGTTAAATCCCCAGTACCCAGGGGAAAAGAAAAAAGAAATCAGATTCTCTCACCCACCAAATACTGCAAATACCTTGTCAAAAGGAGGGGTGGTGCAGGAGGTATTCACATTCTGTGAAGGACTTATATGAGATCCAGACTGCTTTTAGTGGAGAGAAAAGGCTTTCAGCCTTCCCTCTCTCCTGCCCCAGGCTACGTACAAGTAGCATGCCTTTTTTCTTGCATACTAAAGTCCTGAGCACTGGATCCTTCTCTAATGGCCCAAGTCTAAATTCCAGACCTTGACCCATTATATTAGAAAGGTCCCATTTATCCTCTGTAGTAAAAAATAATAATTATTATTTCTAGAGCTAGTATTCCCCTGGTAATATTCCCATAGAGACTATCCAAAACAACAACTGCTTTAATAATTTATATGCTCATGTATTTTTTTCTTCTGAGCGTAGGAGAAATTTTTTTTTTTCAGTGCTGGATATTGAACCCCATGGGCACTATACCACTAAAAGACATCCCCAGCCCTTTTCATTTTGAGACAGGCTGGCCTTCAACTTGTAATCCTCCTGCTTCAGCCTCTGAAGTAGCTGGGATTACAGATGTGGGCCACCACACCTAGCACTTTCTTAACAGGCTTTCTAATTTGAAGACAGGATGAATCCTGAGACAGAAGTATGAGCTTTAGTCAATACACCTGACAATCCCTGGGGACAAGATGGCTTATCATGAGTGAGACATTGATACTTTAGATGCTGAATTGACACATTGAGGACAAATGTGATTAAACAGAAGGCCAATCAGTAGACCTATTCTCAGACCCTTCTGATCCAGATTGTTGAGAGCCACAGTTTAGTCGGAATGACGCCTGGCATTTTGCTAGAGGGAATGGTTGAAAGGTGACCCTGCTCTGGGATTAGGGCGGCTCCAGGATTAGGGCGGATCCTGCTGCCTCGGGTGCCCCCTACTTTGGAGTTCCCATAGAGTTCTCACTGGGGTTTCGGGAGAATTGGCGCGGAGTCTATATCTTAATTAAAACAACTGTGGTATACTTAAGGTATGATATTAATGTGGATTCCATTTAGGGTACCCTAGATATTCCACATGACAATATACTACATCTAAAATAGTAGACTTCAGATTGTAGAAATGAACCCTTTCAATTTTAATCTTGTAGGATAGATGCTGACACAAGATGGTCATGATGTGGAACTAATAAGAACTGTAAAAGTTGCAGAAGTAAAAATCATGCTTGGCACGTTTTGGTGTTGTTTTGTTTTGTAGGGGATGGTTGAACCCAGGGGCACTAAGCAGGGGCCCTTTTTATTTTTTATTTTGAGACAGTGTCTTTGCTAAGTTGCTGAAGCTGCCTCAAACATGGGATCCTCCTGCTTCAGCCTCCCAAATTGGTGGAATCACAGGTGTGCACCACCTCACCCTGCCTGGCGCATAGCATTTTAAAACTGAAATGTAAGAGTGTCTTCAATTTGGCCTCAAATTCCCGGTACCAGGTACAAACACATTCTACACACCTACCTTCTCTTATATGCACTTCCCTTCCCAGTTGCAAGGGGAATGTCTCCTTTTCTGAATGCTTAAAACCTGTCCCTCTCTACTCCTGGTTTCTCCTTTAGATTTTATTTGCCTCCATTTACAATCCCTACTAGAGGTTTGAGTTCTTAGGATGCAGAAACTGCATTTCCCCCTTCCCTCCTGGGGCTCAGAGGAATGCTTTGACAACAGCACCGGGTAAGCGTTTATGAAATAACTGAGTTGCAGGGTGAGTTGGCGCACACCTGTAGGAGGATCTCAAGTTCGAGGTTAGCCTGGGCAACGCAGAGACACCAGCCCCCCCCCCTCAAAAAAATTTAAACAGGGCTGGAGAAGTAGGTCAGTGGTAAAGCACCCCTAGGTCTAATCCCCATTAAATAATTAGGTTGAGTGGCCAGAGCACGCAATCCCACCCCCACCTTTACTAATTCAGAAAAGATTACCTGCAGCCCTCTCCCCTTTCCACAGAATGTTGTGACATACCCTAAACTAAAATTTCCCTCTTCTGAAATCCAGCAATTATCTGATCTTGATATCCAGTTATCAACGTGCTTAGGATGGCTATCCCCTCTCTCCACTCGGAGGCCTCCATGTCTCCCACCCAAAATGGAGAATTTTGTTGAATAATCGTACTAAAGAAAGAAAAGATTCGGAGCGCCAAAGGGCATCGGTTGATTTAAAAAAATAATAATAATAATAATAATAATAAAAAGCACCGGTATCTGGATAATGCGCCTCCACATACCCTGGGAGTGAATAGGGAACCCCATTCCTGTCATCACAATTTCCCAGGCACAGCCTGTGAAAACAAGCCACCACTCTGCCGCTCGAACCTCTGCACTGGCCCAGATACAGGCAGCGGCTGCAAGGCAATGGGAAAGCGAGTCTGATATTTCCTTTCTATCAAAGTGGCTTCAGTGAAACCCAAACGCCCTTCAGGCATCCGACCCCTGCTTCCCAGCAGGCACTAGGACCCCACTTCACATTTCAGGACACCAAGCAGAATGCGAGACGACACAGTGAGACAAGTGCAAACCGTTCCTCAGCGTTCTGGCCCAGGGCTTGACCCTCTCGCGGCCCGGCTCTCCTCACCCGGAAGTGCTGGTCCCGGTACTGGCTCAGCTCCACGTAGGAGTCGCTGCGCAGCGCCTTCAGGAGGCCACCCGACATAGTGCAGAGAGGTCGACAAGGACGCGCAACTCAGGGATCAACCGGAGTGCCGCGGCTCTGGCGGAAGCGGAAGCGCGCGGAGGGCAGCAGAAAGTGGAAGTCGTCGGATCCAATCCCAGCGCGGCAGTGTCGTCATCACTCGGGCGCACACGTGGTCCGTCGTCTGACGCGGCCGATCGGAAGGCGAGAACTGCGTGTTCCCGGTTCCGGGGTGCTCAGAAAAGGATGGTTCTCCGGCGTCTGTTGGCTGCTCTGCTGCACAGCCCGCAGTTGGTGGAACGTCTGTCAGAGTCGCGGCCCATCCGGCGTGCGGCCCAGCTCACTGCTTTCGCACTGCTGCAAGCGCAGCTGCGCGGCCAGGACGCGGCCCGCCGCCTACGGAAAGTCGCTGCCGAGCCCGTGAGCTCCCTTGGCCGCCGCGTTGCGCGATTCAGAGACACTTTTACCCAGGAGCTACGTCGCGGTCTCCGGGACCGCCCGCGGCCACCGCCAGATAACCATAGGGGCCCCGGGGCAAACTCGTAAGCTTGGACTGGGACGGTCCGAGGTCGCCTACTTTCCCATTTGTGTGGTACACCGACCTTGGCGTTAAGCAGTCCTCCCAGGCCCTGCTCACAGCTTCGAATCCTGATTCAGATTATCGACCTTCAGACGTCCGGCTCTTAAGAGCTCTGGCCCAAACCGACATCTTCGTCGAAATCTCGTGATTGAGCAGGGTACAATGTGGAGAAAGCTTTTAAAGACTCACAGGTAGGCTGGACCCAGGTATAACACAGAGAGCCATGGACACACATCCAGAAAGAGCGCCTGTCCTCTGCAAATGGAACTAGAATTCTTGGTAGATGCTGCTGCGGCTGCACCGGTACAGCCAGGTACTAATTCCAGAGAAGATCGTGGATTGAAAGACAACCTTGCAGCTGCCAAATTCTCTGATTAAATGTGTGAGCTGATTAAAAGGCATGAATGTGGTACTTCTCTGACAAGATAGATTGGGAATCCTGGGGATTGTAGGCTCATGGTAATATGGTTAACACATTGAATGCTGTTCTGTGCTGGCACTTGCTAATTGCATTCTGTGATTTATCTAACTCCTTACAAGCACATTCATAATGAGGAAATGGGGGCCACTTCTCAACTCCCCAAAGCCTGGCAGAATGGGGTGTCAGCATAGGTATTTGACAACAGGCACATATGTCCTTAATCACAGCTCTCTGCAGCATTTACCTTACTTCTTAGGAATTGCCTTCTTCAGTACCACTAGGCATGAATATATTGCCTCTCCTGTGGGAAATACTGTCACTTTGAGGCTTCAAGCAAAATTTCTGATCTTGTCTACTTAAGCTACACAGTTAATCATGCAACCTAGAAAGTTTGAAGCCATAGGAAAAGTTTTAGACTGGTTACAGATACTGATAAAGCATTGTGTATTCTCAGTTTCCATTGGGGCAGACTGAGGGCCTCAGATACAGGATTGTGGGAGAATAATTTGTGGGTGTGCTGGGAATTGAACCCAGGGCCTCCAGCCTGCTAAACAGTCACTGTATCACTAAGCTATGCCTGAAGCTTCTGGGAGAATGATTCTTAAGGGTAAGATGTAGAAATGGCTGGAGAGTTTCCCACCACCTCTCAAGGACAGAAGTAGAAGACAGTGCTGGAAATTTTTTCCAGAATGACTTGTTTTGGTAATGACCAAACATTGAGAGAGCAGACACAAAGTGCCATTAAATACAATACCATTCCATGTTCAAAGAGCTTTGTGAGAAACATGCCTGTTGATCCAGGGGACATGTGCTGTGGGTTCCAAGAATGATATTATCTGACAGACATCTCAGGGATTCTCTTATCTGTACAGATTGGAAGATGGCTGGATGAATAGAAGGGGCCTTCTCAAAAGTCACTGAGTAGCAGACCAGGAACTAGAACTTGGATCCCTGAATCTGAGCCACTTATTCTCTCCTTCACCATAATCTCTCATGTGTCTGCAAGGCCTCAACATGCCAGTCCTTAATAGACCAAAGAGGTAAAGCTTTGTGGCAAGTTTGGGAAAGGTCATTCAGGAACGTGATTAGCAGTGCATTGTCTTTTCACTATCAGGTACTATTGTATATTTAAAACATTACAGTGGCTGGAAGGCATAGGGCAGGAACAGACATTAGGTGCCATTGATTATACCGGGATTATTGGGACCTTGGCAGCAGAACCATGACTGGTCAGATCTTTGGTGTCTGAAGGAAAAGGGAATGGGCTTACCCAGAGGGCAGAACAACCAATGGCTGAGCCCAGAAGAGGCAGCAGTGGGGATCCTGAAGGAGGACCAGGGCCCTATGGCAATGTCACAGCCCAGCTGCCTTCATACAAGGTGGAGTAGCATAGATTCTATAGCTGAATCTTGGGCAGTGGCTGCTCCAGTTCCATGATGTGAAGACTAAGGTGGTCCTTCCAAGCCCCACTCAGCAGAGAGGACAGGACTGGTGGGTCCTCCAGGGTCAGGTGGGGAAACATGAGTGTCTCATTCTTGAGGGGAAAGCTGCATTTCTCCACGGTATGCCTGGTCGTCCCAGGGGTCACCACAAAGAGGCGGCAGAGCCATGGCCCACCAGCCACCTGGCAAGCTGGTTGTCTGGTAAGGTTGTTAAGTGCTTGGCAAAGTACCCAGTCCTCATTTCCACCCATGTCCACCACCTCTACAGATGACTCCAGGCCTGGGAGGTGGAGGAGGTGCTGGGGGGGGCATGTAGGTATGAGTAAAAAGGAGTGTGTAGTGGGTTGGCATGCCTGGGAGCACAGGTGCATGGACCACCTGTTCCAGGTATTTTAAGCCAGGTACCAGGCCTCCCTGATGCAGGCAGCCAAAGAAGAGGGCACCTAGGGCATTAAAGAGGACCAGGGTCCCCTTCCAAGGCACAGGTTGGGTTTGTGGACTACAAAGCAGGACTAGGGGGACCAGGAGGGGAATCAGGAATCGAGCCTCCTGGTGGCTAAAAGCAGACAGCAGGGCCAGGGGCATGAAGTAGAGGAGAAGGAGGTAAGACCTGGGACTGGACAGCAGGCTCTGGGCCCGTAGGGCCCTCTGGAGGCCCATTTGTGCAAACGCCTGGAGGCTGACTTGCAACTGTTGCCAAGCAGCCTGTAGTGCCTGGGCATGTAGCACCCCAAAGAGCAGGAAGCCATTGACTACTAGGTGAGTGAGTCGCACATGTGTGCCGTGCCTTGCAAGGTTTTGGGGATCCAGGTTGTACTGTAAAAAGTTGACAGGTGTAAGGACAAGGCTACTGGATCTTGAGATGCTGGAATAGTACCAGCTGTCCATGGCCACAAATACTACTGTAGTGAGTGCTGCCCCAGGGAGCAGCACCAGAGCTTCCCAGATCAGGGACTTGAAGCCAGGGTCCTTGACTCCACGAGTGCCCCAGACGAAGAGGGGGATCAGAGCAAAGGCCAGAAAGGTGGGCCGGTTGAAGAAGCCAGCAGCCACGATGGCCCCAAGAAGCCAGTTGTACCACCATGGACATGAGGTAGGCTTCTTGGATGTGGGGCTCCATGCCACATGAGGGGACACCAGCACCAGCAGCCATGTGAAGAGCAGTCCCTCGATGGTGTTGGAGAAGGTCCTTGTGTAGAAAACCAGGGTGACGTAGGAACCAGACAGCAGGGCCAGGGCGTTCCAGCGATCTGCCCCCCACTGCGGGGCCAGGTGGTACACAGCCCCATCCAGGGCAAAGGAGAGGGTGGTGAGGAGGAGTCGGGGCCCTACCAGCAGCACATAGCCACTCATCAGGCCAGGCCACAGTCCCAACTCTTCCCAGAGCCTGAGCAACCAGAAGGCAGAGCCAGAGGTCAGCAGTGGGAAGACCACCGTGCGGCAGGAGCTGCTGGGGTAAAACTCCCAGGGCCGTGAAGCCTGCACGCCCAGGATGTCCTCTGCAGAGAAAGAGGCGGAGGTGAGCCAGTTTCCAGCTCTGGGCAGAATTCTAGGATGGCACCCTAAACTCCCCACCCTCTAGTGGACATTTCTTGTACCCCTTGGACTAGTACAGTGTAGATTTTACTCCTGTGGTTAGGTTAGGTTAGGTTATATGGGAGTACTGACTGAAACAGGAGACTATTGGATGGGCCTGACCTCATCACAGCAGCCCTTTAACAGCAAAGAATTTTCTACAGCTGGATGCAGAAGAAGCAAGCAGAGATTCAAAGCATTGATATGCCCCTACTGGCTTAAAGAAGGAAGGGGCTGTTGGCAAGGAGGGTGGGCAGCCTCCAGAAATTAAGAGCAAGGGACTACAGTCCCATAACTGAAGTGAATTAAATTCTGTCAACAAGAATGAGCTTGGAAGCAGATATTTTCTCAGAGCTTCCAGACAAGAACTCAGTCCAAAAGCATGATACACTACGATCTCAGTCACACAAAATGGGATATTGTGTATATACGCACACAACCTAGAAGGACACATCCAACTAAGCTGCTTGTGACTGGATGACTTTGTTCTTTGCTTGTGTTTTTATTTTTCCTGTAATGTTCAATTAACTTTTTTAAAAAATAAAAATCTATTTTAAAAATCTGAAAGAAAAAACAAAAAGAACTCAGTTTAGTCCTTACCTTGATTTCAACCTTGTGACACCCTGAGCAAAGATCCCAATGCTGGACTTCTGATCTACAAAACTGGAAACTAATAATTTAATTTCAAACTGTAATTTTAAACTGCTAGGTTTGTGATGGCTTGTCATACAGCAGTAGAAACTAATATAGAGGAACTCAAGGTGGTTGAGGCCACACTCTGTTGGAGACAAAGGGAACAGTACTTGGGAGATTAGGTGACAGTGTACCCTGCAAGGGTATGGTAGGGAGCAGGGGAGACTTCATTCCTTTTTAAATATTTCTAGGATCAGAACTCATCTCTAAGAAAGATTTTTGTCAGGAAAAGAGGTTGTGAGTGTAGGGACAGAGAACAGACAATAAGGGTTATGGAAAAATATAATCTTAGTTTTGTTTATGATACTTAAATTTTTACAAGAAAAAGGAATTCAAGCAGTATTTATATAATTTCAAAAATACTTGCTGCTTGAGGTTGATCTGTGACCCTGTTCCCCAGTGTTCCATAGCTCATTGTTTGGGGTAAGGGAACAAATTTTAATTTGTGCATCTCCAGTCCAAACCCCACTGTCCATAGCATTTCATGCTTGATAACCTTGCTGGCTGTTAGAGCTGATTATATGGCCTGGGGATCATTCAGGCTCTTTGCTTCTGCTACTTATTCCTCCAGTCTTTTGGCCATTTGATCTATATCAGAAGGTGAAAGGGAAACAGAAAATCTAGCATCAAGTCAATCCAGCTGCTGTATACAATTCAGGTTTAAAAAAACACTTAGGACATAAGACCAAAATTTTCAATTTAAAATCCAAATCTACCTACTGATTCATGTGGCAGAGATAGCAAATCCCCCTTCCTGTCTTAGTGTCTTTAGCTGAACACTTAATCAGATACAAAAACTTTGTTTCCTAGCTTCCTTTGCAACTAAGTGTAGTCAAGTGTCTGACCAGTGGGATGGAAATGGACAAAAAGCATATGATTTACAAAATGTGACCTTAGAGGGAGTAGGCATGTCCATTTCCTGTTTGCTAGAAAGACAGTTTTAGATTTGAAAGTTCCGTCTTGAACCACGAGGAGGAAGTCACACACTGATAGCATCCAAAAGTCCTCATAGACCCTGGCAACCATCCTCTTGATATACCTTTCACCACCTAGTAGATTTTGGTTTTGTTTGTTTTCTGCAGTGCTGGGATAGAACCCAGGGCTTCACACATACTAGGCAAGTGCTCTACCACTGAGCTACATCCCCAGCCCCTAGTGGATAAGTTCTAACAAGTGAGTATCCCATGTCTGGGTTCCCTCTCTCCTTCCTTGAACTACAGTGGGAAATTTTTCATATTCTCGGATCACAACTCTGTGTAAGCTTCCCCAGACACTGGGAAAGCCCAACTCTCATCCTTCTGTTAAGGAGTCCATCATAGCTTTCATTCTGAATGACCTGTTGGTCCAAGCAGGAAAACATCAAAGAGGCTGGTGTTTCATCAGTATCATCCAGAAAGTCAGTGTTGCCACTCAGGAAGAAGATGTGAGTCTCCACTCCCAAGCTGTTGTCCCAGAGAGGCTAAAACAGCTTTGCTTGTGGAGTTACTGTACAAGCCTGTACAGACGTGCTTTCCTTTCCCCACTAAATAGCCAATCAGCCTCTCAGCCACTCAGCTGCTGCTTGTCTTAACCACGTGAGAACTTTACCTGCCATGACTTCTGGTGACTGGAAGAACTCATCCGGGTGCACGTAGCCCGTCTGCGGAAGAAGACACCATAGCACTCGCAGCAGGCTGAGGCTGCTCCAAATCACCCAAACTGCCATCTTCAGATCAAACTGTTGCCAAACACTGGACCAAGATCCTGCAATGACTTCCCAGCTGCAACAGGTGCTACTTGGATCCACAGGTTCGTGTCTGCTGAGGATAACATTTATTATTATAATGTAAATTATAATATGTTCAACTGTCTGAACAAACTAAAAATGGAGCTATATGAACAAAAATAATCATCATGACAGTAGCTGCTTTTCCTACGTGACCACTAAGTACCAGGTACTTGACATACATATCTTATTTAATCCTTTCCACAGTCTAGGGCAATGGCTGTTTTTATACTTCTCTTATAGACGTGGGAATTGAGGCCTCTGTTGAGTAATCTGCTTGTTTGTTAATTATATTTGCTAAGGATCTATAATGGTTAGTTTTAATGAAATAACTTTACTGGGCTAAGAGATACCCAGATAAATAGCTGGTAACACATTGTTTCTGGAAATGTCTATGAAAGTGTTTCAGGAAGAGATTAGCATTTGAATGGGAGTAAAGAAGATAGCCCTGGCCAGTGTGAGTGGGCACCCTCCAGTCCACCAAGGGCCTGAACTGAAGAAAAGGTGGAGTACCGGTGGATTTACTCTCTTCTTGAACTGGGACATCCATATTTTCCTGCCCTCAAACATAAGAGCTCCTGCTTCTTGGCCCACTGAAGTTCTGGGACTTAACACTACCATCTCCATCCCCTCTTGGACCCAGATCCTCAAGCCTTTGGGCTAGGACTGGGAGTTGTTACTTACACTCCTCTTGTTCTCAGGCTTTGGACTGGGACAGACCATTGGTTTTCCCATTCTCCAGACTTTCAGTCTCAATTGTGAGCTAAATTATAATAAATAATGAAGTCAATTCTCTATTGGTCCTGTTTCTCTGGAGAGCCCTGATTACTACAGTGTCTAAAAATGACATTCACAAGTAGGACTAGGGTACCCCACAAATCTGGGTCTCACAGCACCATCCTGATCACCAGCTCCTATCCATAGGCCAGCATGGCCCTGTTTTCTGCAGTTCTGAAAACTTGAAAACCTCAATGGATTACACATATTTCCCCATAAAAATTAACTACACTCGACCCCAAGGTCTACAGCAACTCCTGCCAAATTTCACATGCCCTGGAACCTGCCTTTTGAAAGGTAATGGGAGCTGACATAATTGCCCATAAAGATAATTCTGAGTCCCTCAATTCAAAAATCAGCGAGAATCTGAGCCCACTGCATGATGGACCTATATGTCAGAAACATTTATTTATTTATTTATTTATTTATTTATTTATTTATTTATTGGTACTGGGATTGAACCCAGGAATGCTTAACCACTGAGCCACATCCCAACCCTTTTTATATTTTATTTGGAGTCAGAGTCTCGCTGGGTTGCTTAGGACCTCTCTAAGTTGCTGAAGCCAGTTCAAACTCACAGTCCCCCTGCCTTAGCCTCCCTAGCCACTGGGATTACAGGTGTAAGCTACCACACCCACCTGTCAGAAACATTTCTGGCAAACAGAAATGGAAGAATGAAAAACAGATGTGACAATCTGTTTTTCATTCCTCCAGAAATGGTGGCTTTGCTCTATTGTCCTAACTTTGATATTTTAAAGCCTGACCTTAAATATCTTTTGCTCTTGGGTGTGATGTTGTATCAGAGGAGACAAGATGGACTAAAGAAACAGCAGAACCCAGCAGATGTTGGCAGCAAGGAGCCTCTTTTTCTTTTGTTCTCTGTGTGTGTATGTGTGGTACTGGGGATTGAATCCAGGGCTTGCACAAGCTAAGCAAGTACTCTACCACTGAGCTACATACCTCTGTCCTTTTTATTTTTTATATTCAGATAGGGTCTTGCTAATGTGCCCAGGCTGGGCTCAAATTTGCAATCCTTCTACCTCTGCCTCCCTAGCTGCTGGGATGACAGGAATGTACCACCACACCCAGCCTGGATTGATTTTTTTTTTTTTTTTAGTTGTAGATGGACACAATTTCCTTCCTTCCTTCCTTCCTTCCTTCCTTCCTTCCTTCCTTCCTTCCTTCCTCCCTCCCTCCCTCCCTCCCTTCCCTCCCTCCCTTCCTTCCTTCCTTCCTTCCTTCCTATTTAACCCAGTGCCTCACACGTGCTGGGCAAGCGCTCTACCACTGAGCCACAACCCCAGCTCCTGTATTGAATTTTTTTCTATTCTTTTCTGTCTCTTTCAGTTTGAAAGTTATATCCTTGACTTCCATCATGTTATAACATATAGCATATTATTTAATGTTTTAATATTTAATATATTTCATATTATTATTTTACTGTAATGATTCTGGATGCACATTTCTTTTTACTTAGCATAGATGAAATTTTTTGACTTCTCAAACCTGTGGATTATAGAAGTAATACTCTATTAGTTTACAGAAAGTTATTTATAGAAAGTAATTCTCCATTAGTTCTTTGAATATTGTCTTTTCCCCTTATTTACTCACCCCATAGAATTAGGACTAAATATTTAAGAGAACTTCTCATTCTATCTTCCATGTCCTTTTACTTCTGTATTATATTTTCCAATCTTTATCTCACTGGGCTGTATTTTGGGCAAGTTCTGTTTCTGTCTTCCTCATCTGCAGTCATCCCTTTAGCTGTATATAATCATTTGTTAAACCTATTTGTTGAGTTTTACATTTCAATTATATTTTTCTTTTCTATAAGTTGTTTGATATTTTCCATGTCTGCTTGTTCTTTTGTCATATTTTCAAGGCTTAATTTTATTTATTAAATTATATCAAACATACTTATTTGGTATAATATGTCTAATAATTCTAGCATGTAAAGTCTGGGTCTGAACCTGTTTTTTTTTTTTTTATTTCTATTGTTCCCCACTCACAATGTTCATTTATTGTATATTTATTGAATTATTTTATTTGGGGGCTGCTCATTTCTTCAGAACATTGCCTTGGAATTCTTTGAGGGCAGGGATGCTTGCTTCTGTCAGGTACATGTAGGCATTACAAGAGCAGGACTATTTTTAATCAAATTATTAACTCCAAAGTTTTTTGGTTATTCTTTTGGAAGGAGAGTGGGGCCTAGGGTGTAAATGGAGACTGAAACTTGTAAGAGAGTAGGCCTGTGGTTACAATTTTTTTAAGTGGGAGCTCCCAGACCCACCTCAATTTAATTAGCAT